CCTGCCCGCTCAGTGCCCTCTTTCTTTTTTTTTTCCGGGTGGTGAGTGAGACTGAACGTGCGGGTGGGCGTGTGTTTGCGGAGTGGCTGCGGCCGCGGCGGAGGAGCTTGATGGCGGCTGGCTGAGGGGCGGAGGGTGGAGGTGGACCCGGGAGAAAGCAGGGAATGGGCATGCTGAGCCCCAACTGCTATCAACCAGCTAACCCCGGGCTCGCCTTCCCGCCCCGACCCCACCAACTCACACCCGAAACACGGACCCTTGTTCGTTACAGGATGATCCGGCTGCTGCGGCGGGAATTTTTCAGAGAAGACCCTGGGCCGCCTCAGACCCTGAGGGGTGGTGGGAAGCAAAGTGGATGCTCTGAAACGAAGCTGGAATGGACGTGTAGACGATGAGGCCAACTCCTCTAGGGTATTCCTGAGGACGCACGCTGGGCACGGAGCTGGGGGCTGGCTGCTGGGAGGGCGTTTAATATTAGCGGGCATATCGGTGGGACAGTTAAGGCTGTGCTAGGTGTGCCTAGTTTAAAAACAGAGGTCCGGACAGCGAGGACAGTGCCGCCCCGGGATTTCCTCAGAGACTGTCGTTCTCCCTTCTGGAGGAACGCGGCCTTCCAATCCCCGGAGGGCGCTTGAAAGACCCTCAAACAGGGGTGCCGTCGGGCTCCACCCCTCCGGGATATGCCAGCTTCGTCCAGGTCCCTTTGAACGCGGGAGGAACAACATCCCCCAGGTCAGAAAGTATAAGTCCAACTGAGTTGGCTGCTGCACCGCCAACCTAGCCCGGCGGAGGCTCCGCGGTCCCGGGGCCCGCCGCCCGCTCCCGCCACTTCGTCAGTCTCGGGGAGAACCTGAGCCGAGGCGCTCCCTTTGGATCGAGGGCGCCCTCCCGACCGGGCATGCGCGCGAGGCCGGGCTGGTTTTCGGTCATCTGCCCTGGGGGAGGAGACCGGAGGAAACCTTGCGTTTCTCCGCCCCGGGTCTTGCCCCGACCGCTCTGTGATTGGGGCGAGGAATCAGGTCGCTCTCCTGAGGCTGCATCGACCGCAGTCCTGCGAGGGAGAGGGGCGCAGTCAGCGGTACAGTCTGTGCGAGGAAGAATAGCTGAATCGATGTTTCTTTTTTTCCCTTTTCAGATTTTACTCTTTCAATCCAGTGTTGAGAAGCGGCTTTTTGTTTTTCTCCATTGTCAGAGTCGGATCAGTTTGTTTGTATGACTGATATTGTAAGCACACAAGTCAGAAGGGGCCCTGTAATTTGTTAAGCAGAGAGCTGATTTTATGTGATTTTCCTAAAACAAAAAATGAAACAATAATTTAAAAGAGGTTTGGTAAAACAGGAAAACACAATTTAACTACAGAAATCAAAGATATTGGACTTTTCCAATGCCACGATAATCAGGCACCTCACTCTTTAAGATAAGGATGCTATTCCTGTTTTCCTCAAAATAATCTTACACACTGAATTGGTTTCCTACGGCGGCCGTAACAACGTACCACAAATTGAATGGCTTGGTACAAAAGAAATTATTGATAGTTATGCAGGCCGAAGTCTGAAATCAAGGTCTAGGCAGGGCCATGTTCCCTCTGAAGGCACTAGGCAAGGATTTCATCCAGGCCTCGCCTAATTTCTGATAGTTCCTTGGCTTGAGGCAGGGTAACCCCAGTCTTCACACCGGGTTCTCTCTTAGTACTTGAGTGTCCAAATTTCCGATTTTTAGAAGGACACCAGTCATGTTGGAGTAGGTCTACCCTACTCCAATATGACCTCATTAACTTTAGTTATATCTGCAGTGACCTTATTTCCAAATAAGGTCACATTCTGAGGTACTGAGGGTTAGGACTTCAACATATGAATGGGGGTGGGGCACAATTCAACTTATAACACACCAATACAAGCTCCACCCTCCCCCTCCCCACATCTGCCATGTTCCACATTAATTGTTTTAAGTTTCCAGAAGACTGCCCCGGGCCTTTGTATTGCTGCTCCTCATTTTTTGTCCCTCTTTCTTTCCTTAACCTTCATTAATCTCTTCCAGATTGGAAAATTCACTTCCTTTACTTTTCCTGCTATTTCCATTTCTAACTATATATAGAGCATCTTTTTCTATATTTCATTTGGATGTATGAATTAAAATTAGCAAAACTATCTAAAGTGGCTTTGTGACCTCCCAACTGAAACTAGTTTAAGTGCCTTTTTTGTTCTGCTTGAATCCACAAGCCATCCCCCCAGCCTTTCAACCAATTAAAACCTCAAGGTTGTTCAGGCATAAACTAAGTCCTGGTGCTCTAGTGTGTAACCATAATGAGACCCAAGACTAACTGCTACATGCAGAAGTGGATCATTTAAGGACTGGTATAATGCCTACTCCTTTCACACACATTACTTCCACTGCCCTCATCTTTCTTGTCCTATCTTATTATAGGAATATAACATTTTTTCATGTCTTTACTTTCTTCCTTTATCTTTTTATTCAAAAATTACCTGTCTGAGGCCTTCCATAGCCATCTTATCTAAAATTTCAATTCTCCCTTCCCCTTCATATCCCTATTTCCATTCTTTGTTGTTTTCCTCATCACTAAGATAGTACAAGGGTACTTCAAAAAGTTTGTGGAAAAATAAAATTAAAAGATAATATGAATCTTTTCATTAACTTTTTGAAGTACCTTCATATATATTTTGCTTTTTGGCTGTCACCCACATTTAAATGTCGGTTCCCCAAGGGCAGGAATTTTTGTCAGCCTTATTTGGCATTATATCCCTGGTGCCAAGAACAGTGCTAACACATAGCAACTGATTAATAAAAATTTGCTGTATCAATGAAAGTCTTCATTCTTTCAGAGATTTTATCCTGAAGAAGAGCAAGAATGGTATTACTGCTCTCTTTGTAAACTCGAGCACCTCACCAAGTAAAATTAGTTATTGAGTGAATATAATGAAGATGATACCTGCTCTCTGTGTGTTGTTTCTATTTTAAACTATAAGTCCTCTTCTGGGTGGAAACTTTGTATTCATCCACTCGTATAATTCATGGAGATTTCTTGAGTGCCTGTTATGTACCAGGCTTTACGATATGCACTAGGGACTTAAAAAAAATCAAATAAACTATGGTCCCTGCCCTGAAAAAACTCATATATTTGAAAAATTGTTATGATAATACTTCTGGTTATTGATCACAGAAACAGCTAGAAAGTATTTTCCTGATGTCAGGAGTTCTTTTTGGTGGTGGTGGGGCAACTGCCCAGTTTAGGGGTCTGAACCCTTGACCTTGTTGTTACAAGGCGGTACTGTAACCAACTGAGCTAACCAGCCAGCCTAGGAGATTTTTCTAGAAATCAATATACTGGTGCCGATACTACAGGTTAGGCAATGGTCAGTATTTGATTAGGCCTGCTACAAAATAAAGAAGGAAATTCTGAAAGAGTTTTTAGAGGAGGAAATTCTAAAAGAGGTTTTTAAATTCTATCCAGGAAATATTATATTCATAAAGTATCACAGATTTATTTGGATAACAAGTTCTGTTGAAAATTGGTTTATGATTAGCTAAATAGCTGTGAACTGGGGAAAAAGTATCAAGTAAAATGTCTATTAGAAAAGATCGGGGCAGTACATTTTGGCAAGGTTTATAACATAACTAATCTCATTGATGCATGTAACCTTAAAGAGGTTAAAAGGTGATTTAAGTTCTTTAAAGGAAAGGTACTGGGAGGGGTAGAGCAAAAGAAGTAGAAAGAGAAGAGAGAGAATGTTCTTTAAAAGAATAATAGAGGGCCGGCCCGGTGGCGCACTGGATAAGTGCGCCGCTTGGGAAGCGTGGTGGCGCTCCCGCCCAAGGGTTCGGATCCCACATGCAGACCGGTTCCCGCTCACTGGCTGAGCGAGGCGCGGGGGCAACGTTGAGGGTTGCAATCCCGTTCGGTCCGGTACGGGGGCAACACTGAGGGTTGCGATCCGTTGCCGGACACGGAAAAAGACAAAAAAAAAAAAAAAAAAAGAATAATAGAGAACTGATTGCCTCTTCTTCCCCATGATGTTCTATATATCATATAAGGGAATCTCACTGGAGTAGTTAACTGAACTTTGCAGTGATAAGAAATGATTTGGCACTGAACAGTCTTCTGCCTAAACCATTTATTTTTAAAAGACCTCATTGGTGAGGTTAGGTTAGTTCAGGCTGAACAACTGACATCTTAACCTTGCTGTAACTCCTACCTCCCCCTCCCCCCATTTACTTATCTTAACCATTTTCTAAATCTTGTGAAATCTAAATTTTCTTTTTTTATAGTCTATGACCTCAAACTAATGTCTACACATTTTAAACAACTGTAGACCTAGATTATATACATTTTTTAGAAGGGACACACCACTTCAAAATCAGTCGAGGAGATATTGAGCATCTCTTCTGAGCTCAGCATGGTACTGGATGCTATAAGAAATAGCTATAGGTACATATCATGCAAAACAAGAGTGTAAGACAAGTGTATTTTTTAAGTCTCTTCCTATTAGAAAATGTCCTAAGTCTGTGAATGCTAACATACAGAGAAAATTAGTCAAAGAAATCAAAGATGGCTTCATAAGGAGAGGATACTTGAAGGATGGATAGAATTTATTTAGAGGTGATGGGAAGAAAGGAAACTCTTCCAAGAGAAGGAAATAGTATAAGCTAAGGCACAGATATGCCATATTCATAAGATCATAAAAAAGGGTAAATATTGGAGCATATTGGGAAATAAGATTGGAAGGATATCAAAGAAGTAGCGCGTTAAAGAAAGCAATATTTACTGTAATTTAAGTAATTTTAATTTAAATAATATTATCAAAGGAGCTGTGACAGACAAAAATGGCAGTGGGGAAGCAGCTTTATGTAACACTGTGTGGGAAGGCCACTCTCAGAACATGATAATTAATCTAAGACCTGAAGATAAGAAGGAGCCAATCATGCAAAAAGCCAGAGGAGGAACTTTCCAGGCACGGGGAGCTGCAAGTGCTGTAGGAAAACTGTGGCTATGTTTTAGGAATGAAAGGAGGCCAGAGTAATCGAAGTCTAGCAAAGAGGGAGAATGGCAAAAAATGATGGTGTAGAGGTAGTGAGAGTCAAATAATGTAGAAATTGGGGCTTTAGTGGGTGCCAATAAGTAAAACTCCTCTGTGTTACTCCAGAATTTAGAACTAAGTGGGAGATGGGACTCAGGAGTCAGAGATCAAAATAGCAACGTTATTATTGATCCTGCTGATTAGAGAACTGCCACAAAATGGGAGTCCTAATACCCCTCCCAAAGCCATTACCCTGAATAAATTTACCTTTGTCTTGTCCCAGGCCAAATAGAACTGCAGACTTCCCTCAGAGGGGCAGGCTACTTACCAAATGGCAGAGGACAATTAAGCTGTTCTGAGAGAACCCAAGACGTTTCTGAGCCACACATTCTCAGTTTCTGTTCCCCGTCTCACCAATGAGATAATTCTCTCTTCCTCTCAAGGGAAGAAAGCAGTACTAAGGAATGGGAATAGAGGAGGCAGTTACTGAGAGAGACCAGGAATGTTTCCATGATTTTCTCCCTATGGAAAGGAAATTCTCTCCTGTCTATAAAATGTGTGGAATGGGGAGATAAATATTACCCTTACACTCCCATCAGATAGGTCTGATAGGCCATGACACAGTTTGAACTTCATTCTAAGTACAAGTAGAAAGCATTGAAAGGTTTTCAGCAGTGGAGCTAAGACTGATATACAATTTGGAAAGATCCCTCTGGCTGCTGTGGAGACAAGTGGAAATAAGGGACGCTTCTAGAAGCCTGTTGCAGTGATCAGGGTGAGATATGCTGTGGCTGCACCAGGGTAGCTGTGGTGGAGAAGGAGAAAAACAAGAGGATTAGAGGTCTAGAGGCTTGCTGATCAGTTGGATTTAGGGGAGAAAGTAAAGGAGGAATTAGGTTTATTATGCGATTTCTGGTTTCAGTGACTGGATGGGTGGTAGTGCTATGTATTGAAATGAGGAAAATTGAGAGAGAAAAAAAGATGGCCACATAAACATACACCTTGGATTTGGCAATGCAAAGATTACTGGTGTTTTGGTAAGAAT